CTATGGCTGCTCAATCACAACCGACTCCTGACGAATGCTGAGAGGGCCCGACGCCACCTCACAACAAATGTCGACTGCAAGATTTGCGGTGGGGGACCAGAGACTGCGCTTCATGTTGTAAGAGACTGCCCGTTTGCGAGAGCCACTTGGGCAGGGATTCTTGAAGATGAACCTGATGTGGACTTCCTTGAACCCGACCTACACAGGTGGTCAATGCATTATTTATCTGGGCGGAGTAAGATTATTGATAGTACCCTTTTTGCAGGCACGTGTTGGCTTCTGTGGAAGAATCGGAATGATCACCTGTTTCGAAGCGAGTTGAAAACCCATGAGCAGCTCCAGTTCTCCACCAAACAGCTGCGGCTTCAAATAATTAGAGCTTTTGAGAAGGAGGGCACTATCTCCGGAGATGGGGGACTCCGTGAGAGGCGGGATATCAGCTGGCAACTTCCGCCGAATGGTTGGGCATGCGTTAACACCGATGGCTCAGCCACCTACTCTCCTGCGAGCACGAGTTGTGGCGGCATCGTGAGGGGAGACGATGGCCGTTTCATCAAAGCATTCACAGCGAACTTAGGAGGGGTTTCGATCACTCGTGCAGAGCTGGCTGGAATTGCTTATGGGTTGAGATTCGCTTGGGAAGAGGGGATCAGGAAGGTTGTTCTACAGACAGACTCCTGCACTGCCCGCACTTTGATCGAGAATGCGACTCCGCAGCATCCTCATTACTCATGCATTGCAGATATCCGCCAATGGCTAGCTCGACCTTGGCTTGTCAGGATAGAGCATGTTTACAGAGAAGCGAATTTCGTGGCTGACCACCTCGCTTCCATTGGCCACTCTGTTCCGATAGGGGTTCATGGGATTCAAAATCCGACTAGTACCTTGCCGTATTGGTTGTACTTTGACACTCTGGGGATTCAAACACCCCGTTTCGTTAATTCTTAATTCAGGCTAGGGCGCCCTTTGCCCCCTGTTTCTTACCCCAAAAAAAAAACAATAAGGGAAATTTGGTCATTTTTCAGCCCATTTAACCGCCACTTAATGGATAATTAGACGAAAGGGTAAGTTCGTTACGTTTTATAACTAGAATGGTATGTTTACGCAAAATTTAGTAGAGGGGGTACGCTTGTTAATTTGTAAAAATAAAAGGGTATAAAATGCTATATAATAATTATTATTATTTCCATTTGGTAGAAAGAGAAGGTAATTAATGAAGCGGGGACGAGAAAAGGGCCAGGGGCGGTGCCGGCCTTCTCAGGGCACACCACGGCCCACGTGACAGGGACGTCACTGCGACTGCAAGGCCCCTGAAAGTGAACTCACTCGTCTCATTGTCATTGACAGAGAAAATTAAGAATGGAAAAATAACCTTGCTTTTTTTTTTGTCATAGATAGTTTGTAATAGATAGAGTGTTACAACGCAATGGAAAAATAAAGACGGTAGTCAACCAACTAGGTTGCTACCGATGCAAGGGCCGTTTGTGCCACGCGATGGGCAGCCCTGTTAGTATGCCTAGTAACATAGATAAACCAAAAACGCAAAGAAAGTCTTCTTTCAGCAAACTCCTTCAAGCACCAAGTCGTCGAGTTCCAATAGCCTAGCAGTAGATTTGATATGCAAGGTACCTGCAAAATAACACGCAGACAACCCCTAACGGAACAAACAAAATTAAAATACAATCGGGCCTCCACCGAAAATGCTACACAAGCTATACAGACTATGCCTTCTGCAACACAAACAAATATGGCAAAGCCAACTAGTAGAAGAAATATACTCCGTGTCGGACGACAAGCAAATCCTCACTATCATTAAAAGACACCGAATTCCAAAACAATTGCAACTCCCATAAAAAATACCAAACACAATCGTAAACATAATAATAATTAAATATAAATTTAAGAAAGAATTAATAGACTTATCTGAATGCAGGATAGGATCCGTGTTTGAAAGTGTGACTGCCTATCCATTAGAATTTTAACCGCCATGAAATTATAACCGTCCGAAGGCCCGAGCGTTTTGAACAAGAATGAAGCCACGGGAAAGGTAACTGTACAAAGATGTAACTGCAGCCCACTAGCCTGGCCGATCGTCGGCAAGACTCGTCATCCGCCGGAAAGACTCACCAAAGATACCAGCCCACAACTCCTGCAAAAAATAGGAAAAACTCACCGGAAAAGGGTGTCAGAGATGGGGAAACGCCACGAGCGGCTACGCACAAGGGCGTTGGGCAGCAAATTGCTGGAGCGCACAGTTGCGGAGAGAAGTAAAAATCAAAATCGGCCGAACTCGACCCTTCTATCGGGAATCATCGTGAGTGCGTGAACTTCTTATCTGACACGGGATTAGCAGAAGAACCTCCCCAAATGTGTAACTGTCATAGTTGTATCTTCTTGAATTGTAACTGCCGAAATTGTAGAGATCGACCTCGGTGATTCAGTACTTGTTCTTTCCTTGGACGTAATCAAACAGCGAGAGGAAGCCGGTTGTGGAGGCGTCGACGAGGGAGATGTCCTCGCCGCTACTTCTTGTTGAAAGTGCTCAATATCTTACGCAACGTCGGTCTCGCCGTCTTCGCCAGATTATCGTAATTTTGCGCCACCCAAGCCGCTCTCTCGGCGTCGGATCTGGCCGAGGTCAACCCGCCCAGGACCGAAATCAGGCTGTTCAGATCCGAAACGGCGCCGAGCAGCTCACTGTACTCGAAGTCCCTCCACGCGTAGTCCCAACCGATTGACCAGGCGAATCCCCAGATCCCCAATTCAAGTCCTCGCTCCAGCTTCTCGGCGATGAGATGGGCGCGGTTCGCGCCGGCGACGTCACCGCGGGCGGCGCGGAGGTTGGAGACGCGGGTCAAAATTTGTAGATTTGCTTACTTGCTTCTATATTATCACTTTTAGTTATTGATAATTTTTTTACTTTTGTAATGTCAATATATTTGTGATTACTAATACAATAATTTAAAATATAAACAAAAATGATGATCCTTAGATATCCATGGATATTAGAAAATTGATCAAATATGAGTATGATTTTAATTTACTATCCGAGTTTTGCATGAGTATGATTAGGGTGTACAATGGTTCGGACCGTATTGGATCGCAGACCAAACCGATATTAAGACCGGATCGAACAGGGTCGAGTATAATGCAGTCTGGTCCTTGGTTCTCATGAATTTTATTATTACTGAAGAAATGATGGACATGACCGTAGACCAAACCAATATTAAGACCGGATCGAACAGGGCCGAGTATAATGCAGTCCGGTCCTTGGTCCTCATTAATTTTATAATTAATGAAAAAGAAATGATGGACCGAACTGATATTTGGACAGGACCGACTCTGGCCAAATGAACCAAATGCAAAAATTGTCCGGTCCTTGATTCTAAAATGTCTTTCACTAATGATCTGCGGTTTCCATGAGTTCGTTCCGGTCCGGATCGAACCGAACTTTTGCTCACCGAGTATGAATATGGATAAATTTCAAACATGTTTGATAGGGTAACCCATTACCATTAGGGCTGGGAATCCGGATCCGGTTTTCCGGTCAAACCGGAAACCGGACGGTTTAAACCGTTCCGGTTACAACCGGAAACCGAAATCCCAATAACCCAATCCAATTGGCGGTTGCTTGTTGTCTGGAAAAAACCGGCCCGGTCCGGTCCGGTTTAAAATCGAGAAACTGTTTAAAACTGGATGGGTCCAACCCACTAAATTATTACTAACTAACCAGGCCCATTTCTTATGAAGCCCAACACAAAATTACCCAACCCACTAACCCACCCAGGCAGTCCAACTCCAGCAGACCAGCACAACAAGGGGGAAAAGGAAAACCCTAATCGCCTAATGCCCTAATCGCCGTCCCCTTCCAATTTCCATCTCCATCTGACTGCGCAGCTGAGGACTGAAGTGGTCTCGCCAGTCGCCTCTGCTCTATCCCTCGACGGCGACGACAAGGCAAACAGCCGGCGATGACGAGGCAAGTGACGGCGCCGTGATCTCCCTTCGATCTCCGTTCGTTCAAGAGCAGTCCGCAGTCGATCTCTCTAGTCTCTCGTCTTCCTCCCCAGCTCCCTTCGAGCGCCATCATCTCACCCCTCACCAGACTCAATCGACGAGCCGACGACACCTCCAGACTCCGGCGAGCGGCGACGACCTCGGTAGAACGACGGTAAGTCTCTCTCTGACCCTCGCCTCTCCATTTCTCATGGATTTCCCGTCAATCCAGCCATCCCCTGAGTTTATAGATCACTGAATGCAGGCATGCAGCCGCCCCAGCCACCAGCAGCAGCCGTTCTCACTTCCTCCCAGCAGCAGAAAACCAGGCCGACAACTGCAAATCGAGAGATGCAAGGAAGCAGCAGCGCCTGGGTAAGTTCGAGGAAGCCGAGAGCCTTTTCACTTCTCCATTTTGTTCATTTCTCTTGGTTCTTCTTGTCGAATCTAAAGTTTGTATTTTTGTGGTAAATTTTCAGGGTAGCAGCAATAACAAGAAGAGATTGCTAAATCAAGATGAAAATGTGCCATGTGTTCTCCCTAAAGTGCCTCGTGTGGAAATGAGTAGCAATGATCCTCCTCCCGCCAACTTGCCAACACCACAGCTAAATGCACAAGAACGGGCAGCAGCTACCACAACTCAAACAACAACCCAAACACAACCTGAAACCACTACAACTGAGAAGGAAAAAGGAAAGGGAAAGGCTAAAGCCCCAGCTAAGAGGGAGTATGAAGTACGGTCTCCGGTGTGGGATCATTATGACAAGTATGTGAATGAAGAGGGAAAGAAGAAGGCGAAATGTCATTATTGTGGGAAGTCATTGGCTGGTGATCCATCGCCAAATGGTACGTCTACTTTGGATGCTCATACTAAAAGATGTTTAAAGAAATTGAAAGAAAGGGGTGGTCAAATGAATTTGCATATGAAATCATCAATTGAAGGGCAAGGGAAATTAGGTGCTTGGAAATTTGACCAAGCCTATGTGAGGGAGGGGTTGGTTGAAATGATAATCTTGGATGAATTGCCATTTAGGCACGTTGAGAAAGAAGGGTTTAAAAAGTTTATGGAACGTGCTTGTCCTATGTTCAAGATTCCTTGCCGAAAAACAATTAGAGAAGATGCTTTTAGATTGTTTCTTGCACAAAAGGATCAGCTGAAGGATTATTTCAAAACAAAGTGTGGAGGTAAGGTGTCCATAACTACTGATAGTTGGACATCTTGTCAGAACTTGAATTACATGTGCATTACAGCACACTTTGTTGGGAAAGATTGGAAGCTATACAAGAAGGTGATTAGTTTTTGCAAGTTAACTAGTCACAAGGGAATTGACATAGGTAATGCAATTGTCTATTGCTTAGAAGAATGGGGTGTGAAGAGTGTTTATACCGTCACTGTTGACAATGCAAGTTCTAATGACACAGCAATCTTGCAATTGAGGGATAGACTTGAAGAATGGGGTACTAACATTGTAGGTGGAAAGTACCTTCATATGCGTTGCATTGCACATATAGTGAACTTGATTGTGAGTGATGGCTTGAATGAGATGGGGATGTCAATTAGAAGGGTGAGAGAAGCTGTGAGGTGGGTTAGATCCTCACCTTCTAGATTGGCTAAGTTCAAGGATTGTGTGGACTTTCACAACATTCAATCCAAAAAATTGTTGTGTTTAGATGTGCCCACGAGATGGAATTCCACCTATTTCATGCTTGAAGCAGCTGTGATATTTGAAGATGCTTTCTCTAGTCTTGAGAGAAAAGATAGAGAGTACAAACCTGAGTTGAAGTCGAAGAAGTACAAGAATCAAGAGATTGGTATTCCTCAGCATGAAGATTGGAAGAATGCTAGAGTAATGATTAAATATCTGAAGTTCTTTCATGATTTGACATTGCTAGCATCCACTACTTCAGTTGTGATGGCTCATCGATTCTTGCAACAATTTGGGAAGGTATTTTATCACATTGACAAGATGCTCAATAGCAAGGATGATGATATAGTGAGGATGGGGATGAAGATGAAAGCAAAAGTTGATAAATATTGGTGTGAGAAAGGGGGTTTGAATTTGAGAATGAATAGAATGGTGTATGTTGCTGTGGTTCTTGATCCAAGGCATAAACTGAATTATCCGGAACATATTTGGAAGAAGATTTGTGGAGAGAGTAGGGCAAGTGAGTTGGTGAAAGAGTTGACAAGTGAGTTGGAGAAGTTGTTTGAATATTACAAAGCTAGGATGCCTATTCCTCCACCCTCTTCTCCAAAGGTGGCCGTTGTTAATTTGCCTACTTCACGGAGGGAGAGTAAGAGTAGTGATGATGATGACTCGGATGATGATGACATTGACATTGATGAAGATTATAGGCGACCTCAACTTGGGGAAACTAAAACCGAGTTAGATAAGTATCTTGCTCACCCACGTGAAGATGATGATGGTGCTCCGGAGAAGTTTGATGTGTTGAATTGGTGGAAAGTGAATGCTATGAGATATCCTATCTTGACTGAAATGGCTAAGGATGTGTTTGCTATTCCCATGTCTACCGTGCCTTCCGAGTCCGCTTTTAGCACTAGTGGACGGGTTCTAGATAGTTTTAGGAGCTCTTTGCATCCCAAAATTGTGGAAGCACTCATTTGTAGTCAAGATTGGCTTAGATCAAGCTCTTGTGAGTTCAACTCTAATGGTGTTGATGATGATGACTATGAGGATGAAGATGCCTTTGTGAATGGTAAGTGATACAATATTTTATGATGGTTGTTTTTATCAATTTGATATGTGAATGTTAAGTTGTTAATTATTAATTTGTTATTGTTGTGACTTGTGAATTAGTTTACAATACCATTGTGGTGGAGGAAGAAGAGAGGCAAGCACGTGAGCATGCCAAATCTCGCGGGAGTGGAATTGAAGTTACAAGTACGAGCAAGATTGGGGATGGTAGCGTGATTGGATCGAAAGATGGACATGCAAGTGAGGCAAGTCGTGGTGCAACCAACTCTTCCTTTGTTTCCATTGAAGAGTAGAAATGATTGGTTGGCGAGTTGAAGTGGAGTTTGTTCGATTTATGTTATCTTTATTTATGCATTATGGATTTAAAGACTTTGGTTGTGTAATGAACTTTATTTAGACTTTGTGTTTGTGTGTGTGAGACTATTATGATTCATGTTGGAATGTTTTGTCTTAGTTTTATTGAAATTTGGTGAAAATTGAAAGAAACAGGGGCTGCTGGTCACTTAAATACAGGGGAGGTGCTGCCCGGTTCGACCCGGTTTGTCAACCAGCCGGTCGTTTGGTGTGGTTTCCGGTCAAAACCAAACCAAACCGTATCTGATCCAATCCGGTTTGGTTTTAACCGTGTCCCAGTCCAATCCCGTCCACGGTTGGGCATAAGTCCAATCCGGTAAAAAAAACCGGGTCAATCCGGTCCGGTTTAAACCGAACCAGACTGTTTCCCAGCCCTAATTACCATCCATGCTCACTATTATTAGTAGCTAGATAGCGTTCAATTTACAAAGGCATACCAGTACTTTCCTCTTAGACAAAACATACGGTAATTAACGAAAGAAATTTTTATTACCAAAATTCTCTTTCATGCAACGTAAAAAGGATTAAACTAAGAATTTTGTAGTGCACAACAACATTAGGTTATTTTAAAATTCTGTCAATATATATCACCAAATAATAAAAAGATAATATATTTTCTTGACCGAATAAAAGAAAGATTCTATGTTTTCGTGACTAAATTTGTACATGGTTAACTCTAGAGTAAGTCTGGTCTTACTCTTTCCCTACTTAGCTATTTAGACTATAATCTCTAATAAATAAACCTCAGCCTTAGTAATTCGGTCAACACCGATCGATATTAACAAAAAAATAAGTGTTGTCAAATTTATCATATTAAATAAATTAGAATACAAATTACACTTTTTGAATAGTTTGAATTTTCTAATGAAATTAGTCCTTTTAGAGCATCCACAATGGGTGTCTTTTCCCCATTTCATTGTGACATGGCAATTCCATTACCAATTTCATGGTTGTAGCTTGTTATTTCATCTTCGAAAGATTTCATTAGATGAAATTCAATATAGAAGAGGTAAAGTGGGCCCATTTCAATTGGTTAGAGAGTATACAAATTATTTGTTGTATTATAAATGTGAACAGGGCCCACCATATGAGATTGAAAGTAAATTTCATGGTAAAAAAAAATAGAAGTGAAGATATAAAATTATAAAAGGTGTACATGTAACGGTAGGGGTCACAAATGAAATAGTTATGTTATTTCATGGTTGTTGATGGTTTTAACGAGTGACAGTTACATAGAAAAGGAGCTGGTCCTCCTGGTGATTGGTGGGTCTGGGCTGGGGAGGACAGTCAGGTCTTGGACACGCGTAGGGCTGAGAATCGGATGAACCCGCCATTGCCATACTGTAAAGCATAAAGTATAAACACTCTGCCTGCAGCCAGTCTGGGTCTGGTGTTGACACGTTGTCCACTTCTTTATTGACTGCAGCTGGCTGCTTCCAACACATACAAATCTTTTCCTTCCTTTGAGGCGACCCACCTGGCATCAGTCGGCAAACCAACCAATCACTGTAAGTCGAAAACTATAGCCCAACCCAAAGCCAAGGAGTACTTACTTACTGCCATAAAAGAAGAGGTGCTTTCTCCTTTTCCAATATTCACGTGGAAATTTTGGTCATCTAGTTCAGTTTACTTACTTCCTCTTTTCTTTCTTAATACTAGCATCGTTCACAAACTACCTAATTTGATTAGTTTAAAAAAAAAAACCTAAGTTCATTCTGATAATAATAATCAACACAAATACGAGAGAAGAGGGACACCGGATTTACGTGGTTTCCTTGACGAGTATCGTCAAGACTAGTCCACGGCGCAAGGCAGAGATCGATCTTATTCGCTGTAGTCGTTACATAGGTCAGCCATCACAACTCATACATATACTCGGCTAACCTATAACCCTAACCCTTTCTCACGTCACTTATTGTACAATTACAAATTGATACCTATACTTCTAACATATTCGTACCAACGGTTAGCCACCGTTATTAAGCAATGTTGTCAAAACCGAACTGGACATTAACCCGGATCAAGGAGACGTTTAAGGTTTACCGGATAACCAGTAGTTAACCGATTGGCCTAATTGATAGAGCTACAATTGCAAAGTGTAAAATAATTATTGTTTTTCTCTATTTATGAAAATATCTTCACTCTAGTTTGTACATATTAGAAGAAAGAAGAATAGAAAGACAATCACAAGTTGCCAAATTTGAAAAATAGAAGGTATAGTAGTGAAATGGGAACATGATAATTGTTTTCCATTTCTAATTTTTACCATAATCACTTTCTTTTTTCTTATATGTTGCTTTGTTCTTTATTTTTAATATTTAATGGAAAGAAAGCTAAAAATCAGGCATTTATTTATTTTTCTTATTGAAAAATTATAGGAAATTGAACAAAAACGTCGGTTCGGTTTACCGCTTGAACCGGTCGTTACCCGACCGACACATTCCCTTCTCGTTTTTAGGCTCCGGAACCGGATTACTGCCCGGGTCCGGTTTTTACTGGGTTATTTTTTTTTATGGAAATCTGCACTCAGCTTTATTAAGTAGATGTCAAACTAACATTATCCAGATTTAACTGATCAAGAATACTAATCGGCGGCCTATCAAACCAGACCTCAGTCTCATCCCATCGAGTTTCCATGTGCTTCATTATATGTGATGCCTTGTTCGCATTTCTTCTGACACGTTGGGCGCTGCTCGCCTCTTCTTCCTGAAGCAACTTCCTGATATTCAACACGATAGTGCCCAGCTCCGTATAGTTCACCCGAGCTTCCCTGATCCAGTTGACTACCGTTAAGCAGTCTGATTCCACCATAGGCTTTCCGAGCTGATGTCGTCGGACGAGCTGCAGTCCAAGCTCCATAGCTAGTGCTTCGCCCAAAGGTTGATCATACTTCCCACGTATCTTCTTTACAGCTGCCATAATAAATCTGCCATCATGGTCTCTAATGACTACTCCCAATCTAGTACTCTCCTCACTGAAACCAGCATCTGTATTAACCTTGATCATTCCCCTCGGAGGCCTCTGCCACGTTTCTATGGCTCCTGGGGCAGGGACCTGCTGGTCGTAGCATTGGTGTTGTCGATATTCATCAAGGTATGCTATTGCTCGTGGGACTATATCACTTTCTTCCATCTTTTTGCCATTGAAAAGGTGATCATTACGCTCCTTCCATAATGACCATAAGAGCACACTCCAATCTTCCGTATTCTCTTTGGGCATAGAAGCTATTACCTTCGCCACCCACTCCTTGCAACTTCCATCTCCTCGCAAAACAAAACACTGCACCAGCTGGGAAGTACGTCATAACCTTGAAGCCCAAGCACACTCACTGAATAGGTGAACTTGCGATTCCTTCATATTACAGAACGAGCATGCATCCCCTCTTCGAGGATTACGACTACTCACTCGATCCCCTGTGGCCAGAGATTCTCTAGCGAACCTCCAGAGAAACACCCGAATTTTAGGAGGTATATTAATAGACCAAATACCTTTCCACAAGGAAGAGTCACTCGTCCCCTGGTCCCCATTATCTTCTCGACCATCAATCAGCCACTTTCGGTACTCGTCTCTTGCTGTATAGTTTCCGTCTCTACTATCCGCCCAAATCAACCTGTCCGGAACTGAGGAGTCTCGTAATGGGATTTGAAGAATGGCCATTGCCATCGTTGTTGTGAAACAACTTTCAAGAAGCGTCTCATCCCATTGATTTAACTCCTCATCAACCAATTCTCTAACAGGCGCATCAACCGGCAAACCCATCGGCGGCGATTGCACAAAGTGCCCTGGTACTGTTGGAATCCATCGGTCCCCCCATATCTTCGCAGTTGCTCCATTGTCGATCCTCCATCTTAGTCCACTCATCAAAAAATCTTGTGCCCCCATCAAACTCCTCCATACATAACTAGGCCGATATCCAATACTTGCATACAAAATACTATCATTCTTATGATAATTTGCTTTCAGTATCCTCGCTATGAGTGAGTCTGGTCATTAGTAGAGTCCCCAGAGCTGTCGTGCTAGGAAGGACAGGTTGAAACCCTGCAAATCACAGAATCCCATACCCCCTTCTGACTTCGGCCTGACTAAGGATGCCCTTGCAATCCAAGGAATTATGCGTTCCTCTCCTTGCTGCCCCCACCAAAAGCGCATGATCATGCTATAGATTTCGTCAATGATCCCGTCAGGGACCTTAAAAACAGCCATCGTATACGTTAACCGAGCCTGCGCTACTGATTTAATTAATACCTCCCTTGCCGCTGATGACATCGTTCTTTCTTTCCAGCCCGATAATTTTTTCCTCACTCGTTCCTTCAAGTAGACAAAGAGAGCTTTCATTGATCTTCCCACCTGTGTCACTAATCCCAGGTACTTGTCATGTTTATCAACAGCCCGCATCCCCAAAGTCGAACTGACCAACAGCTTCTTATGAGGCTTCACGTTCTCCCCAAAACTGACTTCCGATTTCTCAAAACTCACAAGTTGGCCAGACTCCAGTTGATAGTCCCCCAAAATTCTCTTCAACTCCTTACTCTCCTGGACAGTGGCCCTAGCAAAAAAGATAGAATCATCAGCAAAAAATAAGTGCGAGATCACCGGAGATCCTCGCGCAATTGACAACCCATGGATCCGTTTCTCGCGCACTGCCTTAGCTGTAC